AGGACCAATAATCGATTATCACTTGTTGACAATCGATTATCTGGGTTACCGTTGTCCTCCAACGGATAGAGTTTTAAATTTTTGGACAGGGAATCTTTGGATAATCGATTATCATGGTTTGACAATCGACTATCAGCCTGTGTCCCTGAAAAATTTGTCTTCATCCTGTTGGAAATTCTAGCAACGGGTTTATCCCATTTTGGGCTATAAAATGGCACCCAAATCCTCTCTTTTAACACACAATTCTTCAACATTTCAATACTCCTTCATTGCATAAGCATTCCTATTTTTTCTTAGCTATTTGAGAGCCAATTCTTGAAGAAATTGTCGTGTTCTTGAGCGTTTACTAGTTCACTCATATCTACTCTTTGTGAGAGTTTTATTCCTGAGTGTTTAAGTGTTTTCATACACTTTAAGGGAGTTTGTTCCCTTTTTGTAAACTCGAAGGAAGTTCCTTGTTCCTTCGTAAGAAGTCTTGGAGTGCGGTATCTCCGAGCAAAGGTGTTGAGGCTCGTGTGACTCGGGTTCTCAAGTTGTATCGGTTTGTTAAGAACCCTTAAGCTTAACGGAGTTAGTGTAGCTCGAGAGAGTCTCTCGGGGGGCTGGATTAGCCACACGTTGTGGTGAACCAGGATAAAATCCGGTGTGTTCCTTCCTTACGCTCTTTACTTTAACGCTCTCGTTTTAATTTGCTGCGATTTTGTTTTAAACGCTATTCACCCCCCCTCTAGCGTTGGGCCTTTATTCTAACAATTGGTATCAGAGCCTTACTCTCTGTAAGACTTAACCGTTTGAGAGAAACGATCAATGGCTTCTACTCAAAGTTCATACGTAGGCTTAGGTGAAGGGCAATCCACCACAAGGCCTCCGTTGTTTGACGGAACGAACTACACCTATTGGAAGGAGCGGATGAGGATTTACATCCAATCCACCAATTTTCTCCTTTGGAGAATTATCAAGAATGGTGAAGACGTGCCAATGAAGAAGGTCGGGGAAACCAACGTTCCTAAGACCGAGAACGAGTATGATGCACAAGACATCAAGAAAGTGGAAAACAATGCCAAGGCCATCAATATCATCTATTGTGCCGTAAACCCGGATGACTACCGGAAGATATCTTGTTGCACCACCGC